GCAGCACGACCTCTCTGCTCGATGAGGTTGATGTAGCTATGCGCCACATTCCATATCGTCTCGAAACAACTCTTCGTCTCAGTTTCCAAGTCATTGACCCAATTCTTTGGCAACTTGGCCTTCATGCGGTGGGTCTTCGCATTGATGACCTTCTCGCGTAGGTGTTCGATCAATTTGATGAGTGCGCGCAGGACTTCGAACTTGGTATAGCAGGACATTAGCATATTCTCGTGGAACATGGTGGGTTCGTCTTCGGGTTTTTGGTGCGTGGCGCCAGGCATACGCAGTTTCTCCATTGCACGTCGCATCGTGGAAACCTCCATCAGAAGTGCTTCCAGCGCCCCAGGAAGCGCCTCGAAGGAAAGTTCTGGCAAGGTCATCGTCCTAACGATGAGATTGATTGCCTCCCATGTGTCCTCAACTTGGTATTCCGCAAGCGTCATGTCAGGCTCAGTCTCCCAGGCATGATCCGGAGGCATGGCAACTTGGTGTATCCATTTGCCCTTGAACTCCAACACCTGTGTCTCTCTATAGAGAAAACTACTGCTAGCGTCCCAGATATCAAGGCTCTTGGCCAGCCAATGAACTTCAGGAAGGCCGTTGGGCATGATGTATGAAAGTGGTCCAGGATGCTGACTGTGCTCGTAGTTGGGGAATATGGTCCTATCCACGACGTCCTTGATATTCCGGTAGCCTGCATAGATTAGCCAGTTTCCAGGTTCGAAATGAGTGCAACATACTACTTGAGTCGATAACGGGAATGTTATCGTTCGGTTCACCCTTGAGTCGTGCTATGCGACGGCTCTCTGTGTTGCATATGTGCTTTGTCAAGCTCGACTTGAAATCCCGTTTCGCGGCCAAGAGTTCCATAGCTTGATCCCATGGAAGCGACTGGAGATCAGAACATACTGCCTCATTAAGCTTGCGTTCCATCCTCTCCATTGTCCCGACAGCTTTTCCTAGTTCCTCTTCGGCTGAGAATCCTTGGTAGCCTTTGGCCCCAAATGGATGTGTCAGTGAGATGCGTGACAGAACATATGGTGACAAAGTATGCACTAGCATCTCCTTGCATTTGGTGTGGCTGTACAACTGGAAAGCGGATTTTCCCAGACCGAGGTTTAGGTGCAGCCGTGCAGCAAGTAGTGCCAGCGGTCTGTTTTGCTTTTCTTTATCGCCCGCCACCAAATGGCGCGCTAACATTGCAGCTTGAAGGAGAACTCGTGAGTTTGGCGTATTTTCGAAGGGATGATCGGGCTCTTCGTTGCGCATAGCTTCTTGGTGAATCCAGAGGAGTGTGTATATTGCAACAAAACCTTCAGGCGACCTGGGTGTCCGTAACTGAGGGGCTCGCAATGCGGCGATCAAAGGTACCTCCATGAGCCCTTGCCACCTTTGAGCAGATGGCGTCGAGAGTGATATCCAGAAAAGATAACACATCTTGAGACGATTGCCGCAATGAACAATCCAGTCTTGAGCCGGGTACTGATTCTGTGCCAACAACTTCCCTGCGTCTTCGTAGTGATTTTCCGCAAAACTCCAGAGCTCTCCTCGGTCCTTTGAGGTCATGCCGTCTAGGAATGGTCGAATATCTGCGTAACATGTGATAAGGTTCGCGTGGTTCTTCCAGTACGTCTTACAGTCGGCCAGCATTGGAGTTCCTGGAGCGACATTCTGGCGAAGTGTCATGTACGCAAGTCTCAAGGGGCGGTCTTGGCTTTGGAACTCCTCCGGGTTGAAAGTACGACTTGTGATATCGGAGATCAGGCGAACAGCATCGTCAGCGGAGCGTGTTGCGTACGCGGCGGCTAATAAGGATGTCCAAATATCTTTCTTCCAGGCACAAGTCTCTCGAAGGCTAAGAACGTCAGCAATGAGTAGGGCTTGGAAGTCGCTGCAGCAACCCGCAGCCACTTTATGATGTTACACTTTGCCGCTGACTCAACATACCTTTCCTGCTGTGATATAATGCGCTCAATGTACGCAAGACACTGGCTTTCAAGTAGAGACCATTCTTTACTCTGCCTTGCAAGTCTAATCTTCATGCCCCACAAGTCACCCCGATGTTTCGTCATAAGGTCCTGGAGGGCTGCAGGCGGGTGGTTCCAGTGTTCGAACAGCTCGCTACACTTCGCTTGCCGCGCGAAGATCTCGCCCATGAAACGCAAGTCGCGTATATCCTTGAAAGCGATGGGGTCATCTGGAGCCGCCTCGTATGCTTGTTTCAAAAGTCTACGAGCCAGGTCGAATTGAAGTTTGCTTTTCATCTCGCCCTGGGGAAGTCCACGCTGCTGTTCGGCTGCGAGTTGAATAGCGAGTGTTTGCGTGAAGTGAGCATGCTTTTTTGCAGATGTTGATCCAGCGCCCTCCTTGGTTTCTTTGCTGTAGTGGAAGACAGCCTGTCAAGCGTTAGTACCAAATCTAATCTCACCCTGTTGTAGTTTTATGTGGTAGCGAGAAGGCGCGGGGAGATGCGCATTCCCAAAGGTGTCGAGATACAACCAGGTCGTGGCCAGATGCCGGTTTCTTACGTACCAGGCGGAAGTCTTCCCAGCATTCCTCTGCCAATGCCACATTTGCTAGAGCAGACCAGAGATCTTGACGGTCTTCCTTGCGTCCCAAGGCTTTCGCAGCACGTTGCCAAACTTTGAGGTTCCCGTCGCCCACTCCGCTGATGTTTAGGTTATTATTCTGATCTTTCCGCGTTTCGTCGGCTAAGATCTTATATAAGTAGGACAGCAGCCGAATATCGTTCACCCCTGGCTGCTCCCAGGCCTGTTGTACCAGATTTGCTACATCGGTGTCCACATTGTTCAACGTAAGACATAACCGAGCTTTCCATGCCTGCTCAAAATTAGCCTGAAGATGAAATTTCCGAGGTCGACTAGCATACCAAGAGAAATGGGTTCTTGGGCGTCTTCTTGAGCGATTTTTGTACGAACGAGTCTGCGAACTTCGCTTTTGGGTAATCGCGCTGAGCCTTACACAGCTTCTCCCAACTGTTGCAAGCCATGACAGCCGGCACCGAAGCGCGGCTTGATTTCGCAAAAATAGGAACGACCGATGAAGGCTAGTGATGCTCGATCAATGTCAAAAATGAGGTGATTGGCTGGTTGGAATTATTCGTCGTTGGCGGGGATGTGTAAGGACGGGAAAAGATGATGTAGGCGTTCGGGCGGAAGTCGGAAGCGAGCGCCTCCGCTTTAGGTTCTCTCACCAAGCAACTGCACCTCTCACTTGCCCCTTGCCTAGATAATCAACACCTGCGCACGAACAAAAGCAGTCATGCGACGCATTTGGCAACCTATAAACTCGCAGGCTTTGACCGTCATTTCATTGCAATCCAGGTACTATCTCAATCTCGGCAAGTTAAATCGGGAAAGCATATCCTACACAGAAACCCCCAAACAGGTCTGCAGCCTACATCAAGATGAAAGCATGCAAAGTAGACGACGTAAGGTCAACGTAGACTCCAGGGTGCACATCTCGCCACGAGACAAGCAGTCTAGTCAACCTCCATATCCATATCCTCATCTCCGTCCACCTTCGCAACCGAACTTACACCCCGCTTCTCTACACGCCTCTTGAACTTGTCCTTCATATTTGCAGGCCGCGCGCTCAACACGCCCAAAGGCGAGCCGCTCCCAACCATGAGCTTACTCTGATCCACGTTTCCAACACCGGCCTTCTTAGCTGCTCTCCTACGCTCCATACCCGCCTTGCGCTCCGCCGCCAATGACCTAGCAGTATCCCCAATCTCGATCAGATCCTGGTTCGCGCTCTTGACCATGTTGTAGGCGTTGCGGAAGTCGGCGTACTCAGGACCTTGGATGTCGTCGCTGAATGCTTTTTGGTCTGCTTCGGTCCAGGTCTTGAATTCGTGGGCGAGGACGGCTGCTACGACGAGTTGCTGCAATACGCCGTCTTCGTCTTTACAGATACGAGAGGGGCTACCTAGAGGGGCGAAAGTGGCGCTGATCGCTTCTTTGATTGCGGAGGGAGTTTCGTTGCGCACGTTAATGAAGAGCTGGACGAGCTTAGTGTGGGCAGCTGACTTCAGCGCGTCGTAGTTGAGCTCTTCAGCCAGAGCGTACATGTGGAGATGGAAGGTGTAGTCGTGGATGTCGACTAGAGCGGTCGTAGCGGCGGTGGGCGGGTTGACATCTGGAATAACAGTTGCGTGATAGAACTTGAAGTTCTTCTGAATGAGCTGCTTGCTACCGTCCCGGACGACCAGGTAGTCCGATGTGTAGATGAAATTGACGATTCGGTCCATGAGGATAGGATGGAAGTGGGGCGGCAAGTTGACGAACTCTGGTGGGTTTGGAATTGTTGCCTGGTCGTGTTAGTCTCAATCATAGTAAACATCAAGACGGGAAAGCTTACACCACCAGGAAACAGTCCCTCTTGTAAAGCCTTCGGGCCGCCAATCAACATGACAGAATGTACTTTGAACTCCACACCAGCGGCGGTAATCAGATTGAAGTCGCGGCCGATAGGCGTCTCTAGTAGAAATTGAACATGATTGGCCTGTAACTTCTTCGCAGCAGGTGGATGAGCGTAGGGTTTCTTGAAAACCTTGCACAAGAGATTGCGGGCGCTGCGCGTATCGATCTTCTCTGGCTGGATAGACGCAGTCTCGCGCTGCAGCATCGGCACCTGGGGTACCTGGGGTACCTGGGGCACTGGAAGCACCTTGTATGTGCGTGAGGGATGTACGTCGTCCATCGCGAATGAAGGTGTAGGAATAGTAAATCAGAGATCCCCAAAAGTGTCTTGTGGCGCGAAGTTGAGGTGGGAAGTGGGGTGAGACAAAGTGAAGGCCTGTGGGTTTGGAAGTCGCGTGCGCTATATCGTTTGGCGCTTTTCACGACAATGGCGCAGTTTTCGCAAAGTGAAAAGACACAAGTGCAGGCACGTAGGCAAACCGACCAATCCGCGATAATCTTTTGCATGAAGCATCCACATTACTCGTACAGTCGTATCCCACAGAGACCCAGCTCTTAGAATGTTGGCCTTGTTCTCTCACCCTTCCACAACCCCATAACCTCTCCTGTTTCTCCAACCCACTCTCTGACGCCAGTGACAACAGCCTTGGCCATGCCAGCGTTTGTTCCACTTCTCGCCCTCCTCTTTCCTTCCGTGCCACTACTGGCTCCACCGACGCCAATGCCTGTTCCGGTTCCGTATGATGCTGGTGCTGTCCCTGGCGTGATGTAGCTGCTACCATCTCCGGTCGCGTACTCCGAGCCCATCGAGGGGAGGACATTCTCGCCGGCAGACAAGGAGACGAACAACGCGAAGGGGACTAGCCAGACGCAGAGACCGAAGTAGGATGCGATTTCGGTGAAAGTAGGGATGTTGGCATCGCGGGAGTAGGGATATGAGGAGTACGAGTTCGCCGGCGGAGCACTGAAGTGGCGGAACCAAAGGTAGTGATTCGCGATTACAAGAGCTGGACATGATGGTCAGCATTGCGCCGGTAGAGACTTCCAAGCATCATAGCATACCACAAGAGGCCAAGAAGAGTGGATCCGTGAGCTTGACAATAGGGAAACGCCTCAGATTCTGCGCATAGATGAAATGCGACCCGACACTCAATGCGCTGAGCCCAATTGGAAACCTATCGACTACGAGAAGGAGTGTTTGTATGCCAACGACGCCATAAATGAGTCGATATAGCAGTTTCTTGGCGAAGACGGTATGCTCCTCGACGAGTTCAGAAAGGTAGTACAGGCCGGAAGCTACGTTGCGTTAGCCCCATGAAGCCAAAGACCGAGAGCATCACAGCAAAGTACCTATCGCAAGCGTCAGGAACGCGAAGCCCAGGATAACGCCGACATATCCAAGCAGCGGTAATATCCACATGTTGACTTTTGGCACACTTCAGGGGAATGCGAAGAGAGATGAAGTGTGGAAGGCTGGAAGTTTGGCCGCGGCACGATGAGGTCAGTCCAAAGGTGGCATCAAGGCTAGCGGAGAAACCCGTGGACCCGCGCCAGAGTGTGGGGTCCAACTCCAAAAAGTCGTGCGAACTCTTGGCTGAAGGTGCGTCGAGCAACTGACAGTCCACGCTCGCTTTCGACAATCACTGCGCAAACAAGTCTCATATTTCCACGCGATAACAAGAGTACTACTGTCGTTTGTCCAGCGATTCAGAGTTAACAACCGCAATCATGTCGCGCCCCGAAGACATCCTGTACGCAATTCTCCCAACATCGCAAATCGCATAACGAAGAACACGACGCTTACACTTCAGCAGACCGCCCGACCTCTTCTACAATGACTCCGAATCGCGCAAATACACCACCTCCTCTCGCATCCAAAAGATCCAATCCACAATGACCCACCGCGCCCTCTCCCTCCTCGCGCTCACCTCGCCATCCATGATCCTCGACGTCGGCTGCGGCTCCGGTCTCAGCGGCGAAATCCTGTCGCATTCCGCTGAACAAGGCACACCCGGTGGCCCTCACGTATGGATTGGTTTCGACATCAGCGCATCCATGCTGGGCGTTGCGCTGGAGAAAGAGGTAGAAGGAGATTTGCTGCTGGCAGACGCGGGGCAGGGTGTGCCGTTCAGGCCGGGAACTTTCGATGCGGCGATTAGCATCAGTGCGGTTCAATGGCTGTGTAATGCTGAGACGAGCGAGGAGAGTCCTGCGGGCAGGTTATCGAGGTTCTTTAACCAGCTTTATGCGAGTTTGAAGAGGGGAGGGAGGGCGGTTTGTCAGTTCTACCCCAAGAACGATGCGCAGAAGAAGATGGTGGCGCAGGCGGCGATCAAGGCTGGTTTCGGTGCGGGTCTTTTGGAGGATGATATGGGGACTAAGAGCGCGAAGACGTATCTTGTTCTGACCGTGGGTGGTGGCGCGCTGGATGGGGACATCACAGGTGTTGTGAGGGGCATGGACGGCGTCGACGTCGAGGATGCACGGAGAAAAGCCAAGGGCATGAAGAGGGGCGAGGAGCGCAAAGGCAGCAAGGCATACATCATGAAGAAGAAGGAGCAGATGGAGAGACAAGGCAAGGTCGTCAAGGCCTCGTCCAAGTACACTGGCAGGAAGAGGAGGATCCAATTCTAGATATACCCACATCACGATGACGATGTTACGCATAGCACGGAGTTCTGGGTCTGGCATTTTCACGAGGGTATAAGAATGGTCAATTCAATCATGCAGCATGCTATATACCACCTACAAGTACAGCTCTATTCACATTCCAGCTGGTAGTTGTACAAGTGCCATTGCGTCCAATCGTTAAGAAAATATGTTATTGCTCCATATCCTAGGTTAACCCAATGTGAGCCGAGGCCTAGATGTGACGGTATCATCGCGCTAGATCAAAGCTTAGCAAACACGAAGATCATGATGGCTAAATCATGCCTTCTCCATCTGGTTCAGGACTGCGCGGGTGAACTCGTGGGTGGTGGTGTTGCCTCCCATGTCGCGTGTGCGGGCGGTACTACACGATGTTAGACGTATGTTGCTCTTCAAATGGAAATCAAACTTACCCGTCAGCAATGACCTTGTAGACGGACTGCGAGATGCGGTTGGCGTGGTCATCGAGACCAATGTGACGGAGCATCATGGCGGCGGACAGGATCAGAGCAGTGGGGTTGGCCTGGTCCTTGCCCTTGATGTCGAGACCGACGTGACGGCATCCAGGCTCGAAAACGGCGACGTTGCGGCCCATGTTGCAACCAGGAACGATACCAGGACCACCAACGAGACCAGCACCGATGTTGGAAAGGATACCTCCGTACAAGTTGGGCATGACCATGACGTCGAATTGCTGGGGCCTTGAGACACACTGCATGGAGGCGTTGTCGACAATCATGTCGTTGGTCTCGAGAGTGGGGTAGTCCTCACCAACCCTCTTGACGGTGTTGCGGAACAGACCATCGGCGAGCTTCATGATATTGGCCTTGTGGATGCAGGTAACCTTCTTGCGGTTGTTGGCGAGCGCAAAGGCGAACGCAAACTTGGCGATGCGCTCCGACTTCTCACGGGTGATGATCTTGAGCGACTCGACGACGCCGTTGACCGACTGGTGCTCGAGACCAGAGTATTCACCCTCGGTGTTCTCACGGATGATGCAGAAGTCGATGTCCTTGTGGCGCGTCTCGTAACCGGGGATGTTCTTGAGGAGGACGATGGAGGCGTAGATGTCGAGCTCTTGACGGAGAGCAACGTTGAAGGAACGGTGGCCGGAGCGCTCGACGGGCGTGTGGAGGATACCCTTGAGACCGAGCTTGTTGCGCTTGAGCGAGGCAATGGACTCGCGGAGGAGCTCCTCGGAGTGGACGTTGCCAGAGTCGACACCAGAGACGTCGACCTGCTCCCACTCAATGGGAACATTGTCCGCCTTGAAGATCTCCTTGACCGACTCGGAGACCTCAGCACCGATACCGTCACCTGCGCATGTTCAGAATCTATATCCATTTATAGGCGGCTATCGCGCATACCAGGGATCAAGGTAACAGTGTATTTGCCGCCGAACTTGGTGGGCTTGAAGATGTCCTGGTTGACCGTGGCCATTGCTGTCGCCGCGTTAGACTCTGCATTTTTGAATATCTTTTACGTGGTATTCGTACAGCGGGTAGCCATGGCGGGTGCCCATCGGGAGGCAGGCTTCGCGCCCCGCAGGAGCGTCTGCACAGGCGCATTAGCACTCGAATTCCCACCGCGCCCGCCAATTGCGGGCGCATCGTCTTGCTCGTACCTGCGCTGTTCTTTGGGAGGTCCTCGACAACATGGTGGAGTTGCGGCGTTGGGCTGGTGGTGAGGGATTTGAGGTGGAGAGAAACAAGCTGAAGCTGCCGTCCCCCGAAAATGCATCCGAACCGAAGGAAGAAACCGCGCTTGGCGAATGACCACATCCGTCCTTCCGCCGCGGCTCGCTCTCTCTATTATCTCCGACGCAGGGCACCATCCATGGATTCTTTCACTCGTTCCGATAATTGCTTCTTTCTGTTTTCGCAGCTGTTGTACTTCGGATGTTTCTTTCCATTTTCACAGTCGCAGTGCCTGCCTAATTCATCACAGCTCCATTTGCATGTGATCGCATGGGCAACGAGTCGCATGTTACAACAGAATTCATCTGATAAGCGGCGATGGAAAATCTCACGCTCACAGGGTCAGTGTACAATGGCCCGTTAACGTGATCTTCCCATAGTATGCTAAATGTCCTCTTCATATCATTCTACAAGGGTGGCAGAGCCCACAGGTTGGTTATGACAGTCTACTTTGAGAGCAAAAGAGGGAATCATGTCCAGTTGCTCTTACAAATAATGTACCATTTGGACTCTTGGAGACGTGCTGCTCCGTAGAGCAGTCTAGATTTGATGCGTTCTACGAGTTGGTCTAGTTACATCAGCCGGCACGTTCGTCTGAGTATATGAGCGCTCCTAAGGTGACTCTCACTTATGCTTTGGCAGACGTGGCAGCCCCTGGCATCACAGCGTTTCTCTGGCATGTGTCACCCAACTGACTATTCTCACCTTCACCTCGCCACTCTGCCGTCTTCATCACGTCTTCCAATCTTTAAGACGCACCCTCTTCCTCTCTCTTCACCCCTTCCCATCTCGGATATCTTCTATTATCTTCGGTCTCATACCAAGCTTTCTTCTCCAGGCTCACGCTGCCCCTAGTGGCCCAAAACAGCAGGCACGCGACTACCGAAGCCCCAAAGCGCGTCAGGCAGCGGCGAAAGCGCGCATACCGCCAGGTATCCTCGACCTTCCGCGCTGTCAGTACTACTCATATGAGACTCTGTCGGCGAGCATCGATCCAGTTTGCCGCATAGACACGTCTTCTGCCAATTCTCACGAACGTACTCAACTAGCTCGCGTCACATATAGTACGATAACGACCTCCGCACTACTCAATCGAGCAGCCCATTCTCATTGATCACTGATTCACTCTGGGCTCACGCGAGGGAAATCACCGACTCTTCACCAAACACGTCTTAACTACTCTGAATTCACGTCTTACACAACATTCTCAAATATGAGAGTGGTTGAGAAGGACACCGACAGAAAGGCCCAGGTCAACATCTATGTCAAGGGTCGGGTTCAGGCTCTCCAGGAATATGGAGAGTACGTGGACCCGAGAGACAACGCGATATGCTGTTATGTACCCATTGATGAGGGTCATCAGCCTAAAGTGGGCGGCAGGTTCTCCGGCAAGGTAACTATCACTTACATAAACTCATCAGAAGTTTCTGACAAAATCACAGACTTTGGCTATAGCTTACGACACGTTTGTGGATGGGATACTCCGCAAAGTCGGCTCCCATGTGGCTAAGTCAGTGATCCTACACAATAGGAAACTGGACACCGAAACCTTCCTATACAAGACCCCAAAAGGGATCATCGATACTACTATCACGGTGGCTCCACTTGAGCATGCTGCTACTGTTCAAGATGACGCCGCGGAGACAATCGGAACCATCGAGCTGCGACTGTACATCACCCGCCAACTGGGAGACTGGCACGAGATTGGCAAAGTAAAGAAGTACTACGCCCATCAAGGTGATATGAAAGACAGGGATACGGGTGGTATCGAGCGGAAAGTAGGCTACAACCGCATAGCTCCCATTTTCAGGATGTCCTTCGAAAAGGACACTACTCCACTGGAGGATAATCAACCGAAAACCTACCAGCGTAGGGCGGATGCGAAACGCCCAGGTACAGAGCCGTGGGCTATATTTCGCTTCCACTATCGAACTGAAGGTTAGCTTGCTAGACTGGATTCTGGCTATCAGGCTAACGTGATATCTTAGCTGAAATTCTCAAGGAGAACATGTCAATGGGTTTTGACCCTGACGACAAAGATATAGGCGAAGCACATACTCTAGTGCTGGAACCT